TTTTTTTTTAGCCCCCTAAAATTGGGGTGGTTCCCCCCTCCCCCCGAAATCCAAGGGGGGTGTTTTTGACCCCCCCAAAATCATTGGGGTTTTTTTTTCCCCCACCAAATTGTTGAGATTTTGCACCCCAAAATCATTGAGGTCATCCCCCCCTCCCCCGCAATTATTGGGGGGTTTTACTCCCCAAATAGTTAGTCTCTTTTTATCCCAAAATCACAGAGAGGTTTTTTTTCACCCCCCAAATTTTGGAGGTGTTGGTTTTTGGGTTTTTTTAATGCCCCTAAATTTGGGTGATGGTTTGTTGCTCCCCACCTCCCCTTTTATTTGGGGGGGGGTTTCTAGAGTCCCAAAATTATTGAGATTTGGGGTTTGCCCCCCAAAATAGTTGTGGGGGTTTTACCATCCCCAAATTATTGGGGATTTGGTGTTTGTTTGGTTTTTTAACCCCCAAATTACTCAGTTTGGGGATTTCATCCCCCTGAATCACTGAAGTTTGGGGATTTTTTTTGCCCCCCCTCAAATGATTGTGGGGATTTGTCCTCCTTAATGAATCCCTGATGGATTTTGCCCCCAAAATCCTCGTTTTTCACCCCAAACGGGGCAGGTACGAGCAGAGCGAGTGGGGTTGGAAGGAACGAGAGAAACGCGAGGAGCTCCGAGACGACCGCGCCTGGTACCTCATCGCCCGCGAGCCCGACGCTGCCCCCGTCGCCTTCTCCCACTTCCGCTTCGACGTCGAGTGCGGCGACGAGGTCCTTTACTGGTGGGTACCCCCCAAAAATGGGGAAAAAACCTCAAAAAAAGGGCTGTGGGGGTGGTTTTTTTTTGCCATAACAAAGCCATGCGTTTATCCCCGCAGCTACGAGGTGCAACTGGAGAGCAGAGTGCGACGACGAGGGTTGGGCAAGTTCCTCCTCCAGATTCTCCAACTGGTGGCCAACAGGTGAACCCAGTACCACCTTCTGATACGGTTTTTGGGGTAAAACCAGGCGGTTTTGGGGCCGCCCGCCCCTGGCTGAGCCCTCCC